CTAGTCCCTTTATCTTAATAGCTGCACATGTTTTTGTTGAAAGAATGTCAAACGGGGGACTCCCTGTTAAAGAGAGACAGGTTGTTGTTCACCAGCTACTTTACTAACTATTTACTTTGGTGGAGTTAAAAGAGAATATAACTTCTATTACAAAAGTTGCACTGTGATGAGCTCATGCAACAACATACTCATTTTGTGCTTCACTATGTTCTTACACAGTTTCACTCAATGAAAGTGGCTACAATAACAGCCAAATATCTACAAACATGCGCTCTCACCGGTCATTGTGAAGACTCCTACTACCATACTGATCCCTCTGTTTCCCAGCAAAGTGACCTCTGTCTGGGCTGCTTGGCTGCTTTTCTGCACCCGTTTGGACTTCATCGAGGCCCACAGACCAGTGCCCAGCACCATCAGGTAGAAGACCACCATTACTACCAGCCCCGGGATGTTCAGAGCCATTGTGTGCTGCCTTGATGACTGGCAAAATGTGGTTCCACTGATGAAAAAAAAAAAAAAATAGGAATAAGAATAAGACTAATAAGTTGATTTTCAAATGCAAAATGTTTAGTTCAATCCTAACATTTCCTACAAACTGTGCTGCCAACTATGAACTATCAGTTGTAATGTGATATGGGTGGGGCAGTCAAGGGCAGTCTGGGGTGCTACTGTTTGATTAGATTTTAGTAAATGTTTGACAGTTTCTACAGTTGAAAACTACTGACTTGTTTCTCACAACTCCCAGAATAGCTCTTGATCGGGGTTGGAATTTTCCTTCACAATGTAAGCTTTGTTTTTAAGACTTTTCCCTCTTGGTTGAATTACTCAGCTATAGTTTAGTTTTATATTGGCATGTCTCCAAAACTGTGTTCAGAAAACCAAGGCTGGAAATGGAAAAAAGAAACTGTAATTATACTTACAGCTCTATAAACTGATATCTGTAGATGAATAAGCTGTCAGAACAGTCAGGTGGCACACAACCAATGTAGCAGAATTCTAAATACTAGACCATATTTTTAGTTACATTTATTTTTACTGTTTCCATTAAATTTTCTTATATTTTTACTAGTTTTTCAATGATTGATACTCGAAACAATTGAAAAGTTAAGGACATTTATTCGTGATTTTGGGAGTGCTATTTAGGTGACAGTTTATGGCAGGTAAGTCTGCCTGTGTCTAAAAGAAAACCTTCATCGGAACTGTTCACATCTTCTAATTATTTGTCTTGTGAACTTGAAAACGGTGTCGCGTAGTTTATTATTCAGATTCAGTGCAACTTTATCAACCCCAAAAAAGAGAAATTTGTTTGCAGCTTACCCACACAACATGCTCCCACAGTCAAACTCACACAACCACCACAAACACTGTTGCATGTCAAGGCCACCTTACAGCCCTTAGCTCTCAGTAAGAGAGCTGTAGGACAAGAGGACTGTAGGGCGAGCCAGCAGCTTTAGACGGTTGTTAAGGCTCATGTTTCTGAGTCGCACCTGAATTCCGCCTCTTCACACCAGTTTCCTATGTGAGGATTTTTCTATACGTTCTAGAAAGCTCCAGAGAAATATCC